ACAGTCATGCCTTCATGCTGTTCTGCACAAGGGAGTCAGTAAGAAAGAAATGGCCCATGACAGAGAGTACATATTGCAATTAAACATGATAATATAAGAACTAACCCAAGATTATTTTGCTTGTTTTCCTGTTCAAAATGGCTGAAGGCCATTTGGTTGAGGCCAGTCTTGATAAGAGAGGCTAGAAGCTTCAAATCAGACATAAGATGGTACCAAAGCACTTGATACTCTGACTAAATGCCAATCTCCTGTCTTGGAAAGATGGCCTGCGAGCATAGAGGGCAACTTGCAGTTGAGAAGGGCTTGGATGACTCAAGAGATGAAGCTTTCCACTACATCCTGGCATTGCCAACTCCCCACTTCTGCTTGTTTCATTTTCTTGGGCCTGCATTGCCATCTATACCATCGTCACTCTTCTAGATCCTCCCCCAATGCAACTATTTCTGTAGTGAGAAGTTTTCCGTTCATTAGGGACTTGAAGGAAGTTCTGTGACCTGAGTAGTCTTCTTGGAGAGACAGGGTTTGATACACACATTGTGCAACATGCCTGCCTGACACAATAAGAGTTTCACTTCCTAAGATGGTCAGGATGCTGCCAGGCTTAGGGTCCAGGTTATGGGGCTGGGATGAGACACGGCAGAACTGTAGAAACTATTACGTCAGGGGCATTGCCCCATGGCTCCAAAATTTCCCTTGAGCAAAAAGAATGGGAACTCATGCAACCTGGATGCTGGTAGATGGAGAAGTAGATTTGAGACTCCTGACCTCAATCTCAAGTTCTTAGAAATAGAATGGTTGAACTCACAAATGATGCTTGAATCTCTTGCATACCTCCCTTTCTGTCACTGGCTTTCACCCTCCTTCACTCAGCTACTACTCACATCAACAGGCTGAGGGCATCTCTGTGTTCTCTGTCAAGAGAGCACATAGAGCTATCAGACCACCAGGTCCTGCTGACTCCAGTATAGGGACTCTGAGGAAGGTAGTGATTCCTTCAGTAAAGTCTGGGGACCAATTGTTAATTTGTAGTGTGAAGACTGGAGGCAAAATAGAAATGTCCATCAGGCTCTCTACACAGGACCTCTAACATGTCTGCAAAAACAGCCATTCTATTTTATGAGGGTTCAGAGTTGGGAACTGACTATTGCTTAACAACTTCACAAGAAATTGATATATTGAACAGGAAGCAGCTTTTAGATTCCCTGTGGAACGTATAACTTACCAAGGATGGCATTCTTGTGACCGCCTTCCTGATATCAAGCTATCAGAAGCCTAATTAAGATTCAGAAGGCTGCCTCATGAGCCAGTTTGCTGAGTGATCCTTGCCCCACGGTAGGGTCTATTTCTCTCCTACCTGGAAAAGTCAGGGACTCTCTCCTATGGACAACACAGAGCAAGCACAGTACCTGGCACATAGTAGGCACATACTTATTTGAGGGAAAACACTGTCAAATTCCTGCTCACCCATGCAGGCAGCAAATTTTACTGCCTTAGTCTGCATGCTAGGCACTGTGCTAGACCCAGCTTTAAGAGTTCACAGCTTCCTGGGGCACCTGGGTGGCTCAGTCAGTTGACTGTCCAACCTCGGCTCAGGTCATGATCTCATGGTTCATGAGTTTGAGTCGGGCTCTGTGCTGACAGCTCAGAGCCTGGGACCTGCTTTGGATTCTTGTCTCCCTCTTTCTGTTCCTACCCACTCAAACTCTGTCTCTGTCTCTTTCTAGAAAATAAATAAACATTTAAAAAAATTAAAATTAAAAAATTAAAAAGCTTCCTAAGGGAACCTGATAAGCCAGCAAGGTTTAAATTCAGTGCTATAATAAGTGCTATAATATAGATGTGCCAAAAGGAGTAGGGAAGGCCCCATTCTTAGGCTCCATGCATAGTTTTTTACTTGGTCATTTAATCATTCTACAAATGTGAGGGCTACCCTGGGCAGGCATTCTGCTGGTCTCTGAGTTAAACAAAGTTTAATAAAGAAAAAAGAATCCCATTTACAATAGTATCAAAAACAATAAAATAAATAGGAATCATTTAGCCAAGAATGTGAAAGATCTGTACACTGAAAACTTTAGACATGGATGAAAGAAACTGAAGAAAACACAAATAAGTGGAAAGATATCCCATGTTTGTGGACTGGAATAATTAATACCATTAAAATCTCTCCGTACTACTTAAAGCTACTTATATATTCAATGTAACAACTATTAAAAATCTAGTGGCATATTTTACAGAAACAGAAAAAAAAAGCAATCCTAAAATTTATAGGGAACCACAAAAGATCCTGAATAGCCAAAGTAACTTTGAAAAAGAAGAACAAAGCTGGAGGCATCACACGTCCTAATTTTAAACTAAACTACAAAGCCATAACCAAAACAGTATGGCACTGGCATAAAAAGACACTTAGACCAAAGGAACAGAATTGAGAGTCCAGACATAAGCCTATGCATACATGGTCAGCTAATATTTAACAAGGGAGTCAAGAATACTCAGTGTAAAAAAAAAAAAAGTCTCTCTAGTACATGGTGTTGGAAAACTAGATATTCACATGTAAAAGAATGAAATTAGAGGCCCGTACCTTGCACCACTTACAAAAATTAACTCAAAATAGATTAAAGACTTAAAAATAAGACCTGAAACTGTAAAGCTCCTACAAGAAAATATAGGGGGAAAGCTCCTTGACACTCCTCTTGACAATGGTTTTTTGGATATGTCACCAAGAGCACAAGCAACAAAGGCAAAAACAAACGAGGGAGACTAGGTCACACTGAGCAGCTCTTGCACAGCAAAAGAAACAATTAACAAAATAAAAAGGTAACCTCCAGAATAGGAAAGGTATCTGCAAACCATATTACAGGTAAGGGATTAATATCCAACATATATAAGGAACTCCTATAACTCAATAGCAAAAATAATAATAATAATCCAATTAAAAAATGGGCAGAGGACCTCAAAAGACACTTTTCAACAAAGACATTCAAATGTCCAACAGCTACATGAAAAGATGCCTAACACCACTAATCATTAGGGAAATTCAAATCAAAAGCGGAAGAGATTATCACTGAAGATGTAGAGAAAAGGGAACCCTAGAGCATTGTTGGTGGAATGTAAATTGGTACAGCCACTATGGAAAACAATATAGAGGTTACTAAAAAATTTAAAGATAGAACTACCCTATGGATCCAGGATTTTCACTGCTAGGTATATAGCCAAAGGAAATGAAATCACTATCTCATTCATCTGCATTCACATATTCATTGCAGTTTATTCACAACAGTCAAGACATGGAAACAGTGTGTCAATCAATAGATGAATGGGTCAAAGATGTTTTATATAACACACACACACACACACACACACACAGGAATATTATTCAGCCATAAAATAAAGTGACCAATGTGTGACCATAAGGATGAACATTGAGAGCATTACACTAAGTTAAATAAGTCAGACAGAAAAAGACAAATGCTTTATTATTCCCCATATATGTGGAATCTTGGAGAAGGAGGAGGAGGAGAAGAAGAATAAGGAGGGAGAGGAGGAGGAAATAGAGGAGGAGAAGAAGGCAAACTTATAGAAACAGAAAACAATGGGGAGAGTTTGTTTGGTCAAAGGATACAAACTTCAAATTATAAGATAAATAAGTTCCAGGAAACTAATATACAACATGGTGACTACTGTTAACTATTCCATATCACATGCCTGTACTTGAAAATTGCTCTAAGGGTAGAGCTTAAATATTCTCACCACAAAAAGATATATACACATAATTATATGAGGTGATGGATGTGTTGATTAACCTTATTGTGGTAATCTTTTTGTAACATATACATATAGCAAGCTGTTGTGTTGTACACCTTAAACTTAGATAATGTTATTTTGAATTATATCTCAATAGAGCTGGGAGGGAAAAAAACAGTCTAATAACTCTTGGAGATACCAAGACATATAGTCGCAGCTAGATAGTCTTATAAAAACAATAGTCCAAGGGCACCTGGGTGGTTTAGTCGGTTGAGCATCTGACTTTCACTCAGGTCATGATCTCGGGTTCATGAGCGCCAGTCCCGCACCAGGCTGTCCGCTGTCAGCACCGAGTCCACTTCGGATCCTCTATCCATCTCTCTCTGTGCCCCACTCCTCATTCTCTCTCTCTCTCTCCAAATAAATAAAGGTCCACTTTTCAGAGTTAACAGAAAAATTATTTTAAGCAGAAAACATCTTATCTGCATTTAAGAAGGAATTGTGCTCCTGAAAGCTTGATTTATTCACAATCTTTTCAAATACATTCTCAATGCAGGCTCACACACTGTTCATCAAGCACTGATACTGATGACATCTGTAACTGGCTAGGGTACCAGCACCTGTTCTGAAAGGGCTACATGAGCTTGTCTCCAAGGTTCCCCCAGCCCCATCAGGAACCTGAACACCTGCACAACTATATTTTATCTGCCTCATCCTAGGAGGTCAACTGCTCCCTGGAGGCTCCTGTAATTAACCCTGAGCTCCCAAAGTAGAAAACAGCAACCTCAATTCAGACTGGGAGGATCACTGTCATTTCTTTTTACCCCCTAATCCATCTCCAAGTGGGAAGCCTCCTAAATTTAAGTACAATGCATGAGTGAGGAAGCGTGTTTGGGGATGTATCTGTATGCCCTCTACTTTGTCCTAGAGATCCCAAATTAAAACATTATCCTAACCCAGGAAAATCCTGCATTTTAATATTGGCATCATGTGTGTGATTGTTATCAGAAAAACAATACATATTTGCATAATGACACATTTGCAAAGATGTGTCACCATTTGCTACCACTTGTCCTTCCATGGGCTAGAGAATTATTTCAGTTTACCCTCTCCCAGAAGTTCCCATCAATTCTCTCTCTCTTTTTTTTAACCTGATTGTGAAATCAGTTAACCAAAGGGGAAATTTCTGAGCTCTATACTTCTGCTTTTAAAGAATATAAAAGAGTGGGACAGAAATTGGCAGATAGCAGATCTCTCGAGGCACAGCAGCCCACTCCAGGATTCTATTCTCTCCAGCCAGTCTTCATTACTCAGGTACAACTTGAACTCACTCTTCTTTTCATGACTAGCTCCTAAGCAAGTCTCTCTGTCCCTCTCTCTCTCTCCCTCTCTCCCTTCCTCTCTGCCTAAGGGCTGGGTTTTTTACAAAGATACCACTATATACTATTATGGTTATGATTTGTGAAATATTCTGGGAATGGACACTGCTTATGTGGCAGCTGACATCTGACAGATCAGTGTCAGAGCCTCTGCTCCAGATCTAACAAATACACTCCTGGTTCAGGTTTGGGTTCACAAGTATTTCCTCTGGATCCAAAGGAAGGCTCTTTCACACATTCACTCATTCATTCAATGACTGTTTCTCTGCAGGCCTGCCATGTTGCAGGTACTAAGGGAAACTCACATATGAAGGCAGGCCTCATGGAGGCTGGCAGGGCAAGCAGTTACTCATCATCTCCTCTTCACCCAGGTCTCAGAAGCAGCCATGGCAGCAGTACCTGAACCCACCAGTGAGATGATGGCTTACTACAGGTCAGTGGGGGAGACTGAAACCAGCAACATGAGCAGGGCCCCTCTTTCAAGAGTGGAGTGTTACTGTGCTTGGAGACCAGATTGGTCCCCTGAACTGCCTCTCCAAGTGCCAAGTGGGGTTTCAAGTGAACCTGGTTTAAAGATAGATTTCCCACTTCAAGTCCAGCCTTGGGACTGCACAGGCTGGACCATCCAGATGTTGTTGCAGCAGATGAAAAACAGGAAGAAAAGATTCCAAGTGCATGATACAGAGGACCCCTCTGCAACGTTTGGCTTGATGGAGAGGGAAAGTTCAGAGGTTAACTGGGGTGGAAGTTAGGTCTCAGGATCCAAGAGAGAGTACCCAGGATATCTACCATGCCTCCTATGCTGTCCCATGCATATTAGCATAAAATGGGCCAACAGCTTTCAGCAGCTTTCAGAGACATGCTATTTGCAGTTTCCTATTAACAGTGAAGACTGTTGGCAGGGAAGGGAACACAGAACGTGTCTGGGAGACTAATGGAGTGATCTCTCTTATTTTTATTACAGCGATGAGAATTCCCTGTTCTTCGAGGCTGATGGACCCGAAAAGATGAAGGTGAGACCATGGGCCTAGCCCACAACTCCTGGAGGGACTCTGACATTGGAAAGGCTCCAGGAAAAGGGTTCTGGACCACCTTGTTCCCCAAGGCATTTTGTCATGGAAGGACTTTCACCTCTTCCAGTGAGGCAGACGCAGATGGTACTGCGTGATGACCTGGTCAACATATCGCTCCCACAGTCACATACTGAGGCTTGGCGATGGTGGCCACGTTCATGGAGGGCAAGAAGGAATGGCTGTGGGGATAAAGCTTGCTGTCTCATGTTAGGAAGGCAACCCAGGCTCCAGTGCAAATTTAATTCTCCTTTTAGGAGAGGGTTCAGCCTACATTAATCACTGAAGTCCTTGGGAGTTAATGTATATCTGCTCCCTTTAAAGACAGAATAGTGTTTTGCTTCCTGGGATAGAGCTTATGACAATACAATGTGGATGATGTAAACAAAAAAGTGAATTGGGAGTTGAAAGAAATCATTAATTTGCTGTTTGACCTTAAAGAAGCCATTTCACCCCCTCGGCCTCTGAAAAATAAAGGGCATGAACTAGATGATCTCTGAGCTCCTGGCATCCTATGACCTTCAGTTCTGAAATACTGTCAGTGCTAACTAGGTTTATCCTGGGAAATGGGTGTTTCTCTGACTCTCACCTTTACTGAGAGCCATTTTGACATTGAAGTCGTCCTTCTTTTCTGTATGAGGCCTAATAACTTTCCAGGGTGGTACGGCCATCAACCCAGCCAGGTCAGTTGCACAGATTAGCAAGCAGCTACTGGTCTCTGACTTTTTTTTTAGTTCAGGGCAGTTTCCCCTAGCCTAATAATCCAGTCCCTACTCCTGTTCAAAGGCCTGTATTTCTCTAAATGCTTTAAAATCAGTAACTGGTTTACTCCAGCCCTGGGGTTTGGGGAGGGCATGGCTTCTCTGTCTGGCTCTTTCCCTGCTGTTCCTTCCCGTAGCCTCCCTCTCTCTCTCTCTCTCTCTCTGCCTGTCTGTCTCTCTCTCTCTCTCCCCTAGAGCCTTAGCTCTGAGCAGGAACTTCTCTCACTCGGCTTTCCTCTGTACTGTTAAAGAGGCCTCTTTAGGGTGTTATGCTGAGCGAAATAAGTCAGGCAGAGAAGGACAAATACCATATGTTTGCACATATAGGAGGATTAGGAGGAACTTGACGGAGGACCAAGGGGGAGAAGAAGGGTGGAAATGGTGGGGGAAAGGGAGAGAGGCAAACCATGAGAGACTCTTGAATGCTGACAAAAACTGAGGACTGATGGATGTGGGGGGTTGGGGGGGATGGGCATGTAGGAGGGCACTTTGGGGATGAGCACTGAGTGTTATGTAGAAACTAATTTGACAATAAACTATTTGTAAAAAAAAATAAAATAAAAAAAAATAAATAAAGAGGCCTCTTTAATGGTTGAGCATTCAAACCATTATTGAGCCACCAGGGCAACCTCACTTAAGTCCTCATGCAGTTTTGAGGTTTCTCTGAGTAACAGGAAAGGGGGAACATATTTCCTACATAGTAACCACTTTTAATGTATTTGTTGGACGCTTATAAAACTGTTTAGAAAAAAAGAGAGAATTTGTATAGGACAATTAAAAACTTGTTGAATGAGCATAGATGAACAGAAAATGTTATGATCATCATTGCCATGAAAAATTAAATACATGGTGTTAGAGCATTAGGGACACAAGAGGACACAGGTCAGGTGGATTAGTCTGTGAAGAAGACAAATGAGGTGGACATGGGTTTTATTCTAAAAGAATACCATCTGTGGGCCTGTGGGCCATCAGAAAGCCCACAGTTCTGGTTTTGGTTCTGCCTCTAACTCGCCACGTGCCTTTGAGTAAACCTCAATAGGCTTCAGAGAGAAGAGCGTTTATCATTAGAAGCTCAGTTATCTCCACGGCCTCTTCCACCTCTCTGATGTCAAAATGGGAGTTCTCTGGCCCATTCACCTTAACATACTCTTCCTGGTCTCTCCACAGGGCTGCCTCCAAAACCTCAGTCACAGATTTCTGGGAGATGAGGGCATCCAGTTGCAAATCTCCCACCAGCTTGACAGCAAGAGTCTTAGGCATGCCGCGTCAGTCATTGTGGCTATGGAGAAGCTGAAGAACATATCTTTTCCATGCTCAAAGCCCCTGCAGGATGATGACCTGAAGAGCCTCTTCTGCTGTATCTTTGAAGAAGGTACTTAATGAGAACCAAAGGCAGACAGTAGATCTCTGGTCTATAGACAACTAAACTACCCTAAAGTTTTATGCCCTTCAAACACAGGAGGGCCAGCGATGGGAAAAAAAAAAAACAGAGAAGCCTAGAAACCAAATGAATATAGTTGAAACTATTCTCCTTTTTTAATATTTTTTTAATATTTTATTTATTTCTGAGAGAGGGAGAGCAAGTGAGCATGAGCGGGGGAGAATCAGAGAGAGAGGGAGACACAGAATCTGAAACAGGCTTCAGGCTCTGAGCTGTCAGCACAGAGCCCGACGCGGGGTTCAAACCCACGAACAGTGAGATCATGACTTGAGCCGAAGTCTGATGCTTAACTGACTGAGCCACACAGGCGCCCCTAGTTGAAACTATTCTTAACATAAAATCGCAGTAACAACTCGCATTTGCCAGTTACTCTACCATTCTCAGAGGCTTTCACTTGCATTACCTCCTGCAAGTCTCACACTGTCCCTGTTGGGCTAGTATTACGCCATTGCCATTTTATGTGAGTAGCTCTATTGTTAGTCCAAGGCCAGCAATGGAAGTGCAGCCGGAGTCCATATCTTATGGTGCCAGGTCCAGAGTTCTCACACAATCCAACTTCCTCCCCCCAAGTGTTATAATCAAACTCCAGCTACCCATGCTCAGATATCCTCCAAAACACCAAATTCTGCTGCCTTATATCATCTGGCCTGCCTTTCCGATTTTCCTCCTAAGCAGCATATATGTTCCACATTTCAGAACCCATCGTCGGTGACTCATGGGATGATGGCTTTGTGACTGATGTGGCCCTACAGTCACGGAACTGCACATTCCAAGACGTAAAACACAAGAGCCTGGTGCTGTCTGGCTCCTATGAGCTTCGGGCTCTCCATCTCAATGGACAGAATATGAACCAACAAGGTAACTAGGGACATCTTATTCCTCTCTTGGCATCCTGACCCCATGCTAATTCTCCACATTTTTAACAAAGTAGGACCATAAGGCAAATTATGAACCTAAGTGAAAAAATGTATAACTAACATGTAAACATTTTCATTTTGGTCCTGGCAAGGACACCTTAGCATGTTCATTTTTTAGCAAGAGATGAGACTCTGAGAAATTAGAATGCTCGAGCACACCCAAGACTATTGTGTAGCCAAGTCTTAGATTGACAGTACAATGTCAATGCTTCCATTAGAAAGGGGTCATTTGATGGACATGACCTAACTGTCTGTGGGTTCCTTTTTCCTGTCATTGAGGTTGAAACTAGGATGGTGAAGAGATACTGTGTCTGTCCTCATTCCCAACCCTGCCCCCTTAACCCAAACATCCTTCCCGCCCAGTACCAGATGGGAAATTTTACTGGCAAGCAGGAGCTTATCTCTCTCTACGGTAGCTAGCAAATGTTTCAAGTCTGGACAGCCCATTAGTTGTGGGTTCCGCCTGGCACCTCACCAATGTGGCTGAACCCTGTATACAAAAGAGCAGCCAAGGGAGCTGCTGAAAGGAGCAGCCTGTTCCCTTCTAAGACTGCTGATCTTGGAGAGAGGCATCCCAGCCAGGCCACGACAAACATGTTTCCTCAGAACTGGGATGTGAGCATGACCTCAAGGCCCCCGGATGAGTTGGTGGTGACTAAGGAAGATGAAAATGAATGTTTCTTTGGAGCCACTTTTCTGAGCTAAGCCTTCCCTCTCCTGAGTTCTTCCCACTTGTTGTTCCGTGTTCCTGAAACAGATCTGTGCCTGCTTTCTTTCGGGAGCCCTTATCTGCCTCTTTTCCTGCCTTGCACACTGATCAAATTGTTCTGCCCATACAAATGGGCACACCACTGGCCAGTCACAAAATGGCTTCCTTTTTTTGGTTTTAAAAAATGAGACCCCCTAATTCTTCACTGCCACTGTGATGAGGCTCTAAGAAGCCCTTGCAGACCTTCTTTGGAGAAAATATGAATCAACCAACTAACTCTGGTACTGTCTGTGAGAAGCCAAATTATCCTGTCTGTTAGGCCATTGGAAGCTCAGCGTGGGTTCCCACAGATGATGTTAATTGTAGGAGACCTGGGCTTGGGGTCCAGTTGCTGGGCCAACCCTGCATGGCCATGCATTCCTGACCACAAGGCCCCTTTCCTTTCTCTAGTGGTGTTCTGCATGAGCTTTGTACAAGGGGAGGAAAATAGTAACAAGATACCAGTGGTGCTGTGCATCAAGAAAAATAATCTGTACCTGTCCTGTGTGATGAAAGACGGGAAACCCACCCTGCAGCTGGAGGTGAGTGAGAACCAGGGACGGAAGGCTTCCCAGGTGCCTCGGAAGCACATTTAGCCCTCATTTATTTCCAAGATAACCACCTTTTCTGCTCAGAAAATCTGGGAACATATCTACTTGATAAGTTTGCATAAATGTAATTACATCTAATGGAACTGTTAAATGCATGAAACTTTCACTCCCACCACAGAAAATTAAGTCACTTTGCCGATGTTATTATGTCCTGCCATTGTGACCATTCAACAGATGATACAGTGTTAGGGTTAAAGGCTTATAACATTGTTAGGGCTACTCCATTTGATACATGATACATCAATAAATGGATCAATTCAAGGCAGCTGTCATCTGTCATCTCCTCCACTCTCAAAATCACCTGCCCCCCACAACGAGCTTTGCCAGCAAAAGCTTCAATTCTAAGTTGAAGTCATTCTAGCCAGGGCCATAGAGAAAACTATAGCAAAAGTCCCTGGAAACTAGGTACTCCTAGAAGTTTTCATCTAATGTTCACTTTTTAATAAAACTCCCACTTATATTATGCTCCCTACCATTTGATACTAAGTTTCAAAAAAGAGTAAAAGCTCTTTCAGTCACTACACAGGAAGTTGGTATCACAAAGAGAAATCAGGAGTCTGGATCCTGGTCCTATAACTCATCAGTTTCCTTTCTACCTGAATGAGAGAATAACTTTACCAGAGTGGCCTTGTCCCTTCTCTCATAAAAATTCTTATTTTTGTTTTGCTGCAGATGTTAGACCCCAAAGTTTACCCAAAGAAGAAGATGGAAAAGAGATTTGTCTTCAACAAGATAGAAATCAAGAACACAGTGGAATTTGAGTCTTCCCAGTTCCCCAACTGGTACATCAGCACCTCTCAAGCAGAAGAAATGCCTGTCTTCCTAGGAAATACCAAAGGTGGTCAGGATATAACTGATTTCATCATGGAAATCTCTTCCTAAAGAGACCTGTATCCAGAGAGTCCAAATGTGCTGAATAACCCCTGCTGGCTGGTGGAAGAGGAATAGAAGGGTTAAAACATGGCCTCGGGCTGAACTTCACTCTTACCTAATCAATGCACAGCTGCCTTTCTTAAATCACTGCTAAGATCTGTCCCCCAGCCTGGAGGAGCAACCCCCTCTTCCCAGGGCCAGTCCTCACTCCCCTCTGCTTTAGCCAGGCGTCTCTCATTTCTTCTACTCCCTCAAAGCCACACTGGCACAAATCGTTACACATTCGGTTCCAAGAAATCCTCTGTCCTTTGTGCCCCGCTTCTGATGAACAGCCTCTTAACTATTTATTTATTTATTTATTGGTGGGTTAGTCTATTTAACAAAGTCAAGAGGGCCAAGATGCATCAGTGTCTGTGAAGAGCCCAGTCTTCAATATCTGTGAAATTAATTTAATTTGCACTAGTGCACCATCTTTGTAACAAGTCCTTTCAGCAAGGCTGAAAAATGTATAAGCTCAGATTGTTTACATAGGAATATTTATGAATGATTAAGTATGAGCAGTCTGCTTCAATGATTCTGAAATAAACTTTGCTGAAAAAATAATTTTTGTTTCTCTGTGGTCATTGCCTTTTCTCGGATCTGAGACAGAAGAGTAAAGATAAATGAGGCTACGAGAGTTCTCCTTGGGAAGCGGTAAGCCCACTCCTCGTCTCTGAGCATGGCAAAATACACAGGAACATCACCGGCCAGCAAAGACAAGCCTCCCTGTCCCTCCCTTTCATTTCCATTTTAAAAGGATATTTGGTACATAAGTTTCATCTGAAAATAGGATCAGCTGAAGTAAGGGAGAAAGGGTTGGTGGTAACAGCCACCAACAATGTCTCTACTCATTTATTTAACAAACATGTATTAAGTAAATGCTATGTACTAGGAGCTAAAGAAACCAGACAGGTAAGGCATTCCTAGTTAGATAGGAGGGGCAGATATATACAAGCAAAAATAAGGCAATGTGGCAAATAGAGGTAAGAGATAAAGTATGAAAGGAGCAGCCAGGAGGGGTGACAACATCTGCTGTGAAGGTCAGAGGGTCAAGGAGGACCAACATATGAGTCAAGCCTAAAAGAATGAGCAGGGGTTCCTCGCATAGAAAAGAAAGGAAAGGAGACTCTCAGTAGTGGGACCAGTATTATCAAAAGCACGGAGTGAAGAATGAATAATGAATGATGCAAAGAGGAAACTTTCAGAATTGTAGAAGTCACCAGAAGCAAAGTCAAAACACCAAAACAACCAAGGGAAAAAATATTTGTAACTGTATATCAGGCAAAGGGATAATTTGTTTAATATATAGAATCCCCTCAAAGCATTAGAAAAAAACATGAACATAAATCCAACAAAACAGTAGGCAAAAATCTAACAAAACTATGTATTAACAGTCCATAGAAAAGGAAATACTATTAATCTTAGACAGCGTAAAACATGCTCAACATAACTTGTAAGAAAATTGAATTAACAGTGCTTTGAAGATAATGGTGTTATCCTATCAGGTTACCAAAAATCAAAGTTGAACAACATACCTGTTGGAAAAACTGGGGAAACCCCCACTCTAAGACATTACAGGTGGGAGTACAAGTTGGCACAACTCCTATAGAGGAAAATTTGATAATGACTATGGAAATTACAAATAAACAACCCCTTTGGCCCAACAATTTCAGTTCTGGGGAATTTATCCTACAGGTGGAAATATACCCATGTGAAATGACACATGATCAAAATTAGTCATTGCACATCACTTGTAAAAGCAAAAGATTGGAAATAACCCAAATGTCTATCAATGGGAGCCTGGTTAAATGAATTATGGGAAATCCATACAATAGAATGCCATCCTAAATGCATTCTATAATGCAGCTATAAAAGAATCGCAAAGCATTCCACACCAATATGGAAGCCTGTCCGAGATACGCTGGTAACTAAAAAAGGGCAAGAGGCAGACAATGCTTATAGCGCACTAACTTTTATATTATAAAGGGTGGGGCAGGGGATGTGAAATAAGACAATACTTTCCAATATGCTTGTATTTATTTCAAAAATTCTGAAAGATACATACGAAATTTAAAAAGCAGCTGTGAGGGACTGGCGAGTAAGATACAGGGGACAATAGTCGGAGCAAGACTTTCCTCTAGAAATTTCTATATACAGTTTGATTTTTCAATCATGTGAATATATTACTTACTCAGAAATAAAATGGTAAAAAATTTTAAAAGGCATTTGTCCAAAAGAATTGTATATATATATAATACATATATTAGAGAGAGAGAGAGAGAGAGATGGTAAAACCTTGGCTTGTGAGCACAATTTGTCCCAAAAACATGCTTGTAATCCAAAGCACTTGTATATCAAATTGAATTTCCCCATAATAATGGAAACTTATATGATTTATTCTACAACCCAAAAATGTTCACATAAAAATGATTATAATATTGTAATATAATAGAAACTAATAAAGAAATTATAAAATATAAAGAAAAATAAATTAACCTACATTTACATTTGAAAACCTTCATGGCTGGTGTGAGGGAGACAAGAGGAGGGTTATCATGTACAACGATTTTCACTGTCACTAACGGAATCACTGCTACCTATCGGCTCAATGGAATCTTTTTCTTTTTGTGCAACTTTAGCAAGGAACCTATCCAATGACACTAGTTTTTGCCTCCTTTTGATGATTTCACAGAAATGTGATATTGCACTGTCGTTAAACAGATTCACTGCTGGCACTGCTATAGCCTTATTCAGGTGGTGCTTTTCTTTTTTCTTTTTTTAACATTTATTTTATTTTTGAGAGAGAGAGAAAGTGCGAGTGAGGGAGGGCATACAGAGAGGGAGACACAGAATCCAAAGCAGGCTCCAGGTTCTGAACCATCAGCACAGAGCCCCACATGGGGCTTGAACTCATGAACTGTGAAATCATGACCTGAGCTGAAGTCAGAACTTTAATCGACTAAGCCGCCCAGGCGCTCCTTGGGTGGCACTTTTCTCAGCAATTTTGCACTGTTTCCCACAGTACACATCTCACTAATCTCATTTGGAGTGAGGGATTCCTCTACATTTTTGTTCTCTTCCTCTGTAGACAAGATACAGACATAGACTTCCTATAAAATCTTGCAATTTCAGCCACTCGCATACCTCATTTGTACTTCTCAATGATTTCCTTCTTAACTTTCACCATAATCATCCTTTTCTTCTTCCTGCTTTTCTTTTCAACCTTTTTCTGCATGGGGGCCATTGTATATGCTTGCATGGATGTTGACTACAGTATAGTATTAATAAACTTGTTATATACTGTATTTAATTAACTGGCAATAAGGCAGCAGAGGAAAGGTCTATAGTGCAGGCAGTCCAACCTACAATGCTCAGCAAAGTATTACTGAGCTCACTCTTGTATGGAAAAGTAAAAGATTGGTCCATAGGTGCCCTGAAGTGACAAAAAATACACTAGTACCAGTTGTGGGCATCTTCCATGTTCCGGAAAATCACTGATTTCTGCCAAACACTATGGCCTGAGATGAGCATCAGAGCATAGAAGATGATCACCCACAATCCTGCAGCGAGAGAGAGAGAACCCCCTCCGTGCTGTAAGTGCAGAGCCCCACATGGGGCTGGAACTCCCAAACACTGAGATCATGATGTGAGCCTAAATCAAAAGTCACACCCTTAACCAACTGAGCCACCCAGGCGCCCCATGTCTAATTTATTTTTAACATGACTTATGACTCTGCAATTCCACTGTTTGGTGTCTTTCCTAAACAATTTCAAGGATGTTTATTCTAGAATTGTTTATAAAAAGTTCAACAAAATAAACTGGAAACAACCTAAATGTCCCATGGTAAGGAAAAGGTTAAATAAACCATGACAAGTTAAAAGTTTTGTTTTGTTTTGTTTTAAATACTGCTTAAATGGAAAGAGACTCAGATAAATCATCAAGATAAAAAATCAAACTGCAAAACTGTAAGTACAGGATGACACTAGTTACATAAAAGAAAAAAGTGCTGCACATTCAAAATGCATGGCCATGTGCTTCTAAGAGTATGTAGGCAAAAAGCTCTAGAAGTGTATCGACTAGACTGAACATAGTGGTTACTTGGGGTAGAGTGGGGTGGAGCGGGGGAGGAGGTCATCAAGAGGAACTTTAGCTTTATGTTTGATTTTTTTACAAGAAGAATATATTCGTGAATTACTTATATAATTTTTTTAAATCTTCAGCATTAAAATGTTCAAAAGACTTGGGTTTCAATTCCTGAAATTGAGCCAAAGACTAAAATTGACTCTCCAAGGGCTATTCTATTCCTGTTTTGGAGCTAAGTTCTTTCCCTGAGAAGAGCTCTACCTTTCTATGTACTAGGTGTCCTTACCCTGGAAAAGAGAAATAGCCTGTTTCTAAATCTTTATTTTTTTAATGTTTATTTATTTTTGAGGGAGAGAGTGAGCCAGCGTGTGCACACTGCATGCATGCATGCAAGCAGGGGAGGGACAAAGAGAGAGAGGGAGAGAGAGAATCCCAGCAGGCTGCAAGATGTCAGCACAGAGCCCACCGTAGGGCTTGATCCCACAAACTGTGAGATTATGACTTGAGCCAAAATAAAAAGTCGGATACTCAACCGACTGAGCCACCCAAGAACCCTGAAATAGCCTGTTTCTAAGCAGAAAGGATCAGATGATCTGAGAGCAGAGAACCAGAACCCTCCCCACTCTACCAAATACATGAAATATAACGGAAGTAGGTAGTCTTTCCAGTGGGCTGGGAAGTCAATTTGTCTGCACCTCCAGTAGGTAATACGCCACACCACCACAGCTGCTACGAGCTTTCAAGGAGATCACATGTACCCAGACAGAAGGAGGCAAGTGCTCACAAATTTGAGTCCATACGGCTAGGGTGTGGCCTATATGCTTGGGCTGGAGTAAGCAAGTATCTGGGGGGGAGGGAAGGTAAATGATGCAACCGTGTGTGGGAGCATATCTGGTCTGAAAGACAGGTTGGGGGTGCGTAGTTGCTACAACATCCTTCCAGTGAAGGAAAGGTAAGTCAGCATGCCTTCTGTGTAGACCTGCTCCCTGTGGCATTCCTCAGCCCCCTGTACAGCCTGAATTATCCACAAACATCTGATTCAACTAGAAGTTAGGGTGAGAATGACCTAGAGAACTGGTGTGATTGCCTGCTCAGGGATGCAGAACTGAAATCAGAGCCTCCTCCCAGTTCTTATCACATCTCACCCAGATCCTGACTCCTAACTTGGCACTTGGGAACAAGCCGCATGCAGAGATTTTCCCCCTGGGAAGTCCAGAAGCAATATGTTTCTTATCTGTATAAGTTTGATTGTTTGCTTACACAATCATGAACATTCAAGTCCCTCTTGGAAAGTGAGTCATAAAACCATGAAATGAGGCACATGGACCAGGAGAGGTAGGCAAAGAGGGTGCCAGGGCCCTGGGCTGCTGTCCTAAATCAGGGATCTCCCTGTCTCAGAACATCTCACCTTCTGGCAAATAAGGCAGCTGCAGTTAGAAGGATCCAGGTGAAGCCTGTGCTTGGGCACATGGGGCCCTCA